ATTTGATTTTATTTTCTTCAGCTTCAGCTCGATCTTGCGTATGAGTAGTTGGTGATCTGTTCCACAGTCAGCACCTGGCCTGGTATTCACAGCTGATAATGAGCTTCTGCAGCAATTCTTTCCACAGATGTAACTGATTTGATGCCCATGCAAACCATCAGGTGAAATCGATGTGTCAATCTAACTTCTGTATAGTCATCAGATGAGATCCATGTTTATAGTCAATGTATGTTTTTTCCAAAAGGTATTTGCAATGAATCAATCATTGATTGTAGAAAATTCAAATATTTGCTTTCTAGCCTGTCACCAACTCCTTATTTTACATTTATCCGTCCTGTTTGTTTCCAACTTTTGCATATAAGAGAGCCATTATTATTATTACTGTATCTTGACTGTATGTTCAATTTATTTCAGACTGGAAAAGTTGGTAGAAATCCTCAATATCTTCATCTTTAACTTTCTTAGCTGGTGTGTATATCTGAATGGAGACAGGATGCATCCCATTTCTGATTTTAAGCCATGCAGTGTTTCCCTGCTCTGTTGTGAGGACTGCTTCCTGGTTCAAATGTAGGTTTTGCATGAGCACAATCAATTGTTCTGGGATTCCCATCCGCCTTAAGGTTAGCCACAATTCGTTGTGGTCTACATAGTCAAATGCCTTTGTAGAGTCAAAGAAACACAGATAGATATTCCTCTGGCACTTTTTGCTTCCTGCCAAGATCCATCTGACACTGGTGATAATGTCTCTACTGGCATGGCCTCATCTAAAGCCAGTTTTTATTTCTGGTAGTTCTGTCAGTATACTATTCCAACTGTTTCTGGATAATCTTCAGCAGGATTTTGCCTGCATGTGATATGAGTGACATTGTATGAGAATTTCCACACTCTGTCAGGTCACCCTTTTTATGGAATGGGAATAAATATGGATCTTTTCCAGTCAGTTGGCCAACTAGTCGTCTTACAGATTTTTTAGCACAACCTGATAAGCACGTTCAGCATAGCAGTTGTTTGTTGAAATACGTCAATTGGTATTCCACAAATTCCTGGGGCTTTATTTTTCCCCCCAAGTCATTCAGAACAGCCTGAACTTCCTCCTTCATTACCATTATTGCTTGATCATAATGTTGTTTCTTGAAATTCTTCTGTGTCAGCGAATTACTTTTGGTACAGTGACTCTGAATACTCCTTCCAACTTCTTTTAATACTTCTTGGATAATTCAATATTCTATCCATAGCATCCTAAAGTATTGTAAATCGAGGCTTGAATTTGTTCTTTGGTTTCTTCAGCTTAAGAAATGTTGAGAGAGACTGGCCTTTTTTATTTTCAGACCCTTGTTCTTTGCAAATTTGGGAGGCTGGGCTTTATGAGGAGGAATGTGCATGAAGATTGGAGGAAGACTCATCATTAACCTACATTATGCAGATGACTTAACCTTACTTGCTGAGACTGAGGAGGACTTGCAGTGCTTGCTGTAAAAGGTCAGGGACTATAGTCTTCAATACGGATTGAAGTTCAACATCAAGAAGACAAAGATTCTCACCAGTGGGCCAAATGGCAATACCATGATGGATGGAGATGAAATTGAGGTGGTTAACAGTTATAGCTTGCTTGGTTCTACAATCAACACTTTGGCAGCTGCTGTCAGGAGGTCAAAAGATGAATTGCATCAGGTAAATCTTCTGTCAGGGATCTTTCCAGAGTACTGAGAAGCAACGATGCCAGTCTAAAAGACTGACGTGTGCCTGATCCAGTCCATGGTTTTCACAATTACTTGCTATGCATCAGAAAGATGGATAATGGTTAAGGATGACAGAAGAAGAATTGATGCCTTTAAGTTGTGGTGCTGGAGAAGAGTCTTGAACATACCACAGACTGCCAAGAAAACAAACAGGTTTGTCTTTGAGAGTGTGAAACCAAGTTTCACCCTGGAGGCTAGCATTCTGACTCTCTCACATACTCTGGGCATATGGCCAAGAGGGACCAGTCCTTGGAGAAAGACATCATCCTCAGAAGGCTGGAGGAATAGTGCAGGAGAGAAAGACCCTGGATGAGATGGATTGATACAGTAACTATGGCAATGGGGGTAGGTGTGTTGGAGTCCGTGAGACTGGTTCAGGACAGGGCCGGCTTTGGAGCTACTGTACATAGGGCCACTATGAGTTGTAGGCTACTCAACGGCATATAACAACATATTTGAAAAACAACTGTATTAACAAGACTTTCTTGTATATGTATGAACTGTATTCCTGTAACTCACAGCATTGTACCTCAGGATAGATCCTAAAATGTTCTCTTTTTATTAGGATTTTAACTTTCTCAATTTGTCATTCTAGGAATGATATGTCTTATTTGAGGTGGCCAATACATGTCTATTTCAACTCACTAACGGCTAAGATGTATCTATTTATATGTTCTATTCAATAGGCCCCAGGAATAGACATTATACCAATCGACATATTTCAGCTAACAGATGCTGCCCTGGATATGCTCACCAAGTTGTGCCAAGAAATCTGGAGAACAACCACTTGGCCAACTGACTGGAAGAGATCTATATTTGTTCTCATCCCAAAGAAGGGTGACCCAACAAAGTGTGGAAACTATAGAACAATCTCATTGATTTCACATTCAAGCAAGATTCTACTGAAGATTATCCAAAAACGTCTGGAACAGCAGGTCAGCAGAGAACTGCCAGAAGTCCAGGCTGGGTTTAGAAGGGATCGTGGTACTAGGGATATTGAAGCTAATGTTAGATGGATCTTGGTTGAAAGCAGGCAATACCAGAGGAATGTCTGTCTGTGCTTCATTGGTTATGCAAAGGCGTTTGACTATGTGGATCATAACAAACTGTGGCTGACTCTGAGAAGAATGTGAATCCCAGAACACTTGATCGTGCTAATGAGAAACCTATACTTGGACCAAGAGGTCAGAACAGAGCAAGGAAACACTACATCGTTCAAAACTGCGAAGGGCGTGTGCCAGGCATGTGTCCTGTCTCCATACCTTTTCAACCTGTATGCAGAACAGATTACCTGGGATGCTGGGCTCTATGAGGAGAAATGTAGGGTCAAGATTGGTGGAAGATCTATCAACAATCTACGATATGCAGATGACACAACCCTGCTTGCTGAAACTGAGAAGGACCTGAAGCACCTGCTGAAGAGGGTCAAGGACTGCAGCCTCCAATATGGATCGAGGCTCAATGTCAAGAAGACAAAGATTCTCACCACTGACTGGGCCAACTGGCAGCATCAGGATGGATGGTGAAGAGACTGAGATTGTTCACAGCTTTAGTTTGCTTGGCTCCACAATCAACACTCTTGGCACCAGTAGCCAGGAAATTAAAAGGTGTATCACCACAGGAAAGTCTGCTGTTAGGGACCTATCCAAAATACTGAAGAGCAATGGTGTCTCTCTGGAGATTAAGGTGCGTCTGGTACAGGCCATGGTCTTTGCTATCACTTGTTATGCATCAGAGAGTTGGACAATGACTAAGGAGGATGGAAGGAGAATTGATGCCTTTGAGCTGTGGTGCTGGAGAAGATATTGAGGGTACCATGGACTGCTAGGAAAACAAACAGATTCATCCTCAAAAAGGTTAAAACAGGAGGCTCCTTGGAGGCAAGGAAACTGAGGCTCCGTCTAACATACTTTGGACACGTTGTAAGGTTGTACCTGTCCTTGGAGAGGGCCATCATGCTTGGTAAGGTGGAGGGACAGCTCAGGAGGCGAAGGCCCTCTATGGGGTGGATTGATTTTAGTGACTGGGGCAACTGGGATGGGTGTATCGGAGACGGTGCAATTGGCACAGGACAGAGCAGAGTTTAAGGCTGTTGTATATAGGGTCGCTATGAGTCGCAAGCGACTCGACGGCACATCACAACAACAACAATTTCATTTTGACAACTTCTAATTTTCCGAGATTCATAGTTTGCATATTCCATATTTCAATTATGAATAGATGCTTGCAGCTATTTCTACTCAGTAGTCTCTTCAGATCGGAAAAGCTCTACTTCCAGTACTATTTTTAACAATATCACTGTATTAGTCACAGTGTTTTCAAAGTCCTGTTATTTCAGAAGTAGATGGTCAATCCTGCTTCAGAGTCTGTATTATCTGGAACACTCAGCCTAGTGATTAAAATTGTGTCATTTATACAAACTTTTCTGGGAAGGTAAAAGAAAAATTTGAAAGAGGCTAATACATCCTAAAGTTATTCCAGAAGTAATCCTGTGAAGGGTTATTAACTTTCTCATCATTTCTTTTGGAATGGGAATAAATACAGAATCTCTTCTAGTGAGTAAGCTGAGCAGTTCTCTTCCAAATTTCTTGAGACTGTAAGCACGTTTGGGGCTGCATATGTTTCCTGAAACACCTGAACTGGTGTTCTGCCAGTTCCTGAGGATTTCTTTTTGCCACATCCTTCAGTGCAGCTTGGACTTCTTCCTTCAGCATTAATGGTTCTTGATCATATGAGGTCCTTGAAATTGTTCAGTGTTTGATACAATGATTCTGTTCATTCTTTCCATCTTCTTTTGATACTTCCTGTACCATTCAGTATTTTGCCCATGGAAAAGTACTGCAACTCAAAAATAAATCTGAAAGACAGCTACCTGGTCAACCCGACTGGAAGAGATCCATATTTGCTCCCATTCCAAAAAAGTTGATCCAACAGAATGGACAAATTTTCAAAAAAATATCATTATCATCACAGTAATTAAAATCATGCCAAAGATTACTTAAAAACAAAATTGTTGGAACAGTACATCCACAGGAACAGCCAAAAATTCTATCTGGATTCAGAAAGGGCCAGGGAACAAGCATATCACTGTTAATGTGAGATGGATCTTGGCTGAAAGCAGAGAACAGCACAAAAAAGGTTTATTTACCTTTCTCAACTATGCAAAGGCATTTCGCTATGTGGATCATAACAAATTATGGCTAACACTTAGAAGAACAGGGATCCCAGAATACTTAATTGTGCTCATGCAAAACCTATTACACAGATCAAGCAGCGGTTGTCTGAAAAGAATAAAGAAACACATAATGATTTAACATCAGGGAAGGTGTGTGTCAGGAATGTATTGTTTCGCCATACCTATTTAATTTTGACATTTAGCAAATACTTTGAGAAGATGACTATATACTGTGGCATCAAGATTGGAAGAAGACTTACTAACAATCTGGTATAGAGATGACACATCCTTAGTTTCAGAAAGTGAAGATGATTTGAAGCACTTAGTGAAGAAGATCAAAGGTCTTAATGGATTCTTCAATATGGATTAGGTATTGAATATATATTACATTTCAACATCAACAAAACAAAAATCTTTACTACTGGACCAAGAGGCAACGATAAAGGGGAAAAGATTGAAGTTGTCAATGATTTCATCTTACTCAAATTCACAACACCCTTAGTAACAGCAGTCAAGAAATCAAAGAATATATTGCATTGGGAAAATGTGCTTTCAAGGACCTCTGAAAGTGCTAAAAATTATGTGTGTTTAAAGACACTAGGCCATCAGAGTGCCCTCTTTAAAATTTAAAGATTAGTTTCAGTAAATTTAAAAAGTGGGGGATAGATTACACCTCCAAAAACTCAATAATGAAAACATGTTTTGGTTTCTCCTTGCTGCATGTAGAGTGGCTTAGAGGCAAGAAGCTGCACTACAATCTAGAAAGCACACAGTT